ACACACACACACACACACACACACACACACACACACACACACACACACACACACACACACACACACACACACACACACACACACACACACACACACACACACACACGGAAACATGCCTGCTGAATGTGTAGAAAATAATATCCAGGCTTACATTTCCGTTACCTAAAGAGAAATGAATTCGGAAAATGAAAAAGTAAGTAGGATATCAAGTGAAACTGCAAGAGGGCTGCCCGTGAGTGGCGCGCGAGTGATTTTTGTTATTTTACCTTGAAATTGGCGAAACAAACACCGCAATTGGAAATAATTTGTGGTGCACTTGCGCGTGCGCAGCGTGAACGGTACACGCCGTGAACAGCTGGAATGCTTCGTGCTGGCGCTGGGCGTGTAAACTTTATGGAACTGTCCATAACATGCGCGAAATTCCATTTATGTTTATGCACATTTTACTGAAAAAATACGGCTAGGCCGGATATGACTGGCTCTTAAATACGGAAAGTAACTTCGTCGAAAATGCTGTTGTGGAACTATTTCCAGCCTAACAGACGAGGTCCATAAAGTCTACAATCGCCATGACCAAGGAGACGCCAGTGGCTGCGCCGCTCTGAAGGAAAAACAGCAAGCGGCATCATTATTCCTGCTATTTTCATTATTATCGCTCAGGTCCTCGCGTTCATGCTTGTTTTTCCCTCGTGCTAAGACTACTGGGAAAGGGACCGAACATTTCTGGCGCTGCAGGAACAAGTAATAATTTTCACACCTGCTTGGACAAGATACGAAATTGACCTTCAAATCGTCGCCGTCGTTGGGCCTTTTCCCCAACCTCTTTCGGGGCCGTGGCTGTGGTCTCCCTGGCGTCCTCTCTGCGGCGGGAAGGAGGACGCATACCGCGCTCATCCCAAAAAGTATTTGGCAATTTTGATAACTTGGTGGTGCTTAACATTGGTGAAAGACGCCGGGAATGGTCGGCAGGCAACGATTGGCCATTCTGCCGTGATGAAGGAAGGTACCTGATTGGCTGTTAGCTCCACACGCTGGCAGTTGCCTTTGGTTTTCATTGTTGAGTGCAACTATTGTCGGTTTCCTATACATGAATCTGCCTCTAATATCCTTTACTTAAAAAAGAACAATATCCTCCCCATCTCCGTTGACCAGTTGCGTTTGCAGATGTCTGGCATTGCCTCTCGCTGGCTTCATAAGGGCGCTTGCCTCTCTTGCGTTGATATTTATCCTCCTTATTTCCCTTACAATTTTCTGTCGCTCTCTTCCTCCTCCGCCTATAGCAAGAGTCTTTCTTCCTGTCTTTTCCTCTTTCAGACCCTCCCTCTGTATCCCATTTTCTCCTCCACATCCGCTGAGCCTCGCCATCTCTTTGTCTGTAATGTTTACACTGTACACACGGGCCAACCTCCGGCACGGGCTGTCGTAGATAATTTGCCGCCCAATTTATCTTAAAGATTTTTGAAAGAGACGACATTATGGCGGCTCTGGATCCAATGCAGTGTGCGAAAAGTAAATGAGAGGAAGGGATGGCCTGCATTCTTATTCATTTCTTGACCTTGTTTAGTATTACTTTATGTCTGCAGTTCGCATCATTAAAGTTTTATTTATGATCATTACTGCCGCCATTACTGGGATCATTGGTGTTATTATCAAGCTGCCCCTTCCATGGCCATCATTGCTATCATCATATATTTATTCTTTCTGAAAGCCATATGCAGTTAGAGTAATTTAAAAAATTAATTCTTTGAAACTGATTATTCCTCCTCATCCCCGCCTATCTACAGAAAGAAAATTTCTGAGAAAATATGGCAAAAGACTTTCCCTGCAACCAGCCTCCGCCGACTCTGTGTAGTTGCACTCGCTGTGGTCTTTTGACAAGCTGCTAAAACATTGTCACTCGACGGAACAATACATAACTCACAACTTCAGGCTCAACAACTGTCAGGTAATGCTCTGTGAGTCGGCCAAACTTCCTTCTTTAAAGCAACATCTCCCCGTCGCCCTAAATGAAGGTAATGAGCGCAAGAAAAATAGGAGGAAAAATAGAGGTGGCCCAGAATTGCTTGCTTCTGTTGTTTTTATTTTGTCTTTAGTATAAAGACTTTGCTTTTTGCTACTTATTCCACAATTAGTACTGATCTTATCAGTTATAATAACAGAAGCAACACGAACAATATTGATGATGATGAAGATGATGATGATGATGATGATGATGATAATGATGATGATGATGATGATGATGATGATGATTATGATGATGATGATGATGATGAGATGATGATGATGATGAGATGATGATGATGATGATGAGATGATGATGATGATGATGATGATGATGAGATGATGATGATGATGAGATGATGATGATGATGAGATGATGATGATGATGAGATGATGATGATGATGATGATGATGATGAGATGATGATGATGATGATGAGATGATGATGATGATGATGAGATGATGATGATGATGATGATGATGAGATGATGATGATGAT